GTGTTGGGGACACGGCGCGCCGGGACGTGGGTGCTGATCCCCCTTTCCCCACCCCGCAGCCCGGCGGCACCCGCGTGCCCATGGAGATCCTGCTCCTGAAGAAGGTGGGCTCGGGCTTCCGCGGCGGCATCCGCCTCCTCGACTGGTTCGAGCGGCCCGACAGCTTCGTGCTGGTGCTGGAGCGGCCCGAGCGCGGGCAGGACCTCTTCGACTTCATCACGGAGCGCGGCGCGCTGCCCGAGGAGCTGGCGCGCGGCCTCTTCGCGCAGGTGCTCGAGGCCGTGCGGCACTGCCACAGCTGCGGCGTCCTGCACCGCGACATCAAGGACGAGAACATCCTCGTGGACCTGGCCACCGGCGAGCTCAAGCTCATCGACTTCGGCTCCGGCGCCCTCCTCAAGGACACGGTGTACACGGATTTCGATGGTGAGCACGGCCCGACGCTCGGAGGGACCCCCCAAACCTGGGCGGGTGTTTTGCGGGGGGTAGAATCCTGCTGCGTCGCAAAGTTTTATTTATTATTATTATTCCCGGGTTCTGTTTTGTCACGGGACTGCATGTTGTGAAACAGGAGCCGGCGCCCGGCCCTGCTCGGCAGCTCAGCCCAGACACCCGACCTGCTGCTGCTTTATTATTATTATTATTTTGGGGGGGAGAGACAACCCTACAAACAAGCAGCCCCCAGGGTGTTGTTGCAAAACCCGAGCGCGGGGCCGGTTTGCGTCAGGCAGCGGAAGGGCTTGGGCTGCCCCGCGTTTGCCTGGGCTTTTTTCAAAAGATTGTTCCGAGATTCTCTTATTTTATTATTTTTGCCGTGGGAGGGGCGGGGTTTTCCCCCCGCCCGTGGGTGTTTTCGGGTTTTGCATGTAACGGTCGGGGCCCCCGGGCCTTCCCCGCGCCGGTGCTGCCCCCTGCCGGTACCGGCGGCTCCTTTTTACAACCCAAAGTTTGTAAACAAGAGTCACGTGGTGGCGGCGGGGGGCACCGGGCCCGGTGTCCCGCTCTGTCCCCGTGCCCGGGCTGGGGTCGCCGCGGGAGGAAACGCGGCGGCGTCGATGGGGTGAGCGCGGTTGGAACAACCCTAACGGCGGGGGCAAAAACAAGCCCCGTCGCGCTGGTTTCTCGCAGGCACCAGGGCGTACAGCCCTCCGGAGTGGATCCGCTACCACCGCTACCACGGGCGCTCGGCGGCCGTGTGGTCCCTGGGGGTGCTGCTCTACGACATGGTGTGCGGCGACATCCCCTTCGAGCACGACGAGGAGATCGTGCGCGCCCAGGTGTTCTTCCGGCACAGGGTGTCTCCAGGTGGGCACACGTTACTTATTGTTTTACGGAATATCATGCATTAGTAGATGACGCTGCAAGTGTCCAGCTCTCACTGGCTGGTAATGGATGATTTGGGTGTTGGGAGCAGCCCTGAGAGCACCGTGGGGATAATGGGGACGGTGACACGGGACACGGTGACACAGGGAGTGTTGGCCCTCCTGGGATGACCCCTGGTTTCTGTTTCCCAGAGTGCCAGCATCTCATCAGGTGGTGCCTGTCCTTGCGACCCTCGGACCGGCCGTCTTTCGAAGACATTTTAAACCACTCTTGGATGCAAGGTGTCCACCTACCGCAGCAGACGGCGGAGATCCACCTGCACAGTCTGCTCCAGGAGTCCAGCAAATAACTCCTGGCTGTAAAAACAAAAAACAAAAACAAAAAAAAATCCAAAAAAAGAAAAAAAAAAGAAAAAAAGGAAAAAAGAAAAACAATCAAACTAAAACAAACAAACAAAAGAGATTTCTTCTTCGTGACTGTAGCACTGAGTGAGGATTGTCACATGGGAGCATCTACATGTCATTCCAGAGCTAGACCAAACTGGAGAGTCAGTCATTCAAGAGCCGGTGGCCGCGAGCCAACCCAGGCGTCCCGGGCGCGAGCGGAATGGTCCTGCCTCCCTTCATGTCTTGCCGGTCAACTGCTGGTGACGTTTTGTGGGCGCTCGCGCGAGTGTCCCTGGCCTGCTGAATTCGGGACTGCGGGAGGATCAGAGACGTTAACAGCCAGGAAAGCTTCAACCAGCGAAAACTGCTCCAGGGACGTGGGGAGGGCGAGCGCCGCGGCCGAGCGTCTCTTCTTCGCTGTCACCGAGTGCCTTCAGTTGCAATCCGGGCCGTGCTGGAGGAAATACTTGAATCTTCCTACGCTGCTGCTTCTCCCAAGAACTTGCCTGGGTTTAGAGCCGCTTCTTCCCTTTCCGCAGAGGAAGCCGGTCAGGAGAAAGGCGGGAGCGAAGCGGGTGACATCTCAGCTCCGGTCCTGCGAGAACGTTTCTTTCTTGGGCTCCTTGCTCCCCATGCCCTCACGAATGCACAAACAATGCAACCCAACCGAGCTGTAAATGTGTGTACAGAATTATATAGGAGCAAAGCTTGGTGTACAGTTGTTAATAGTGGTAACCTGTTACCTTGTTTTTTTTTTTTTTCCTTCCCTGTTTTTTGTTTGTAATTTATTTTCATGGATTTGTTTGGGGGCTTTGTTTTGTTTTTTGTTTAGTTCTTTTTTTAAGGAAAGGTCCCAGCCAGCAGGGTAACTTATTTATTTATTTATAACTCACGCGGGTGCCCGACCCGCCTCTCGCTTGCGCAGCTGCTGAGCGGGGCCCCCCCCGCCGTGTCCGTCCCGCGTCCCTCGTCGCCCGGAGCCGCTTTCGCTCGATGTCCTGCCGCCGCGTGGAGCGGTCACCGCTTCCCCCCCGTCTGCAAATAGTTCTCGTTGCTCTCGCGCCCTTCCGCGTGCAGGTCTCCATTTGCAGGTGTTGTTTTCCCCCCCGGGGTATCCGTGTGGGGTTGGGGTGTCCTGTGTGCCTGTGTACCGCGTGCTGGGGGGAGCTGGCCAGGGCTGTCCGCGCCGTCGAGTCTATCTGTGTAACCAGTGTGTAGCCAGCGGCTTTTTGTTAATAGTTAATATTGTACAGGGGGAATTCAGAAATCCTATTTTTTTTATACATGCGGTTTTAAATAAAAACAAACCACTCGATCCCACGGCAACGTCTCTTTGTATAGCGCGGGAAGAGGGAAACCTCCAGTGCGCGGGGGATCCCAGCGGCACCGGGACGAGCGCGCGGGCTTGGAGCGAGGTGGTGGCCGCAGGGATGCGGGTAGGAACCGGGCAGCGTCACCCGCTCGTCCCGCCAAGCTGGGAAGCTCCGAGCTAACCCGGAGCAGCGCCCGGCGAGTCTCCTGGGAGGGATCAAAGGGGTGCAGAGCCCTTTTCGCTCCCGTTCGGAGCCATCCGGGCGGTTGCGCCGGAGCATGTGCCGGGAGCAGCGCGTAAACAAACATCAAAGCGGCCTTGCGAAACGCCGGATGTTGTCGGCCAAACTCAACGCGGGTGACGCCGGAGCCTGTTGCTCCGGCTCCGCGAGCACCGCGCGCGGGGGGCTGGGCCGTCCCCACCTCCGCGCGGCTGCGGCGAGCGCGGCGCGGGAGGAAGCCGATGCTCCGATTACGAGAAGTCGGTCGCTATCAGACGCTTTTTTGCCCTTCAAACTGTCAAACCCCATTGCCCAACTTCCACGCTGCTCTCGCTGCGGGGGCGTCGCTTGTTTTTCTCGTACGTTTTAATGAGGATAATTTTGAAGTGCTGCCTGGCCGGGCGCTTCCCACTGTCACCCCCGAGGGCTCCCAGCTTGTGCATCAGTCCCTGTCCCTCCGTGCTCAGGGCACCTTTCCTGGTCTGCAGGTTACGCTGCAATCCCCCACCCTTGTTTTTTCCTCCAGGTTTCTCCTTGCAAAGTGCCCTGCGCCAACCGGGCTGCATCAGAGCAAAGCATTAACTGTGTTGGTTTGTTTTGCTTTTTCTTGTTTTTTTTTGGCTGCATCTTTCATCTTTTCGTCAGGGCTGCTGCGAGCAGGAAGCCCAGCTCCAAACGGCTTCAAAGTTAGAGGCCTATTTTGAGCTGCGGTTTCGCATTTAACCTCCTCTCTCGCTTTCCCTCCGGACCATCCGGGAAACGGCTCTTACGCGAAGGCAAAACTACCTGCGCCGGCTCCGCGGAGGGGCCCCGAGCGCGGCGCCGCGTCCGCGCGCGCGTCCCCACCTCGTGCCCCCCGTCCCCGGGACGCGGCGGGAGCTGCTATCGCGGCTGCCGCCGCTGCAGGCCGAGCACGGCCCTCCCTTCCAGTAACCACTCGCCAACTGCAGCCCATTTCCTAGAAAACTCGCCGCAGGGAGGCTCCGGCTGCTGAGATAGCCCCGTGAAAGGGTTGCAAATGGAGGGGGTGGTTTTTATAACCCCAAGGTGGGAGCTGACACCCTTTGGCCCTGCTCCGCACTGTTAAGTCACACACACTCTTCCGAACTGGGGGATGAGGGGAGTTAACGGGAATTCAGGAGCTGGGAGCGCCTTGGAGCAGCTCCCGGCGCCTCTGGGACTCCTGTTCTGCAGGTGAGCAGGGCCACGTGCTGCTTTCGGGCACCTGCAGCTTTCCCCTTGCGCCAAGTGGAGACAAATAGTCAAATTAGCAACTTCAGCTTGAAAATAAACGGTATTTTTGGAACGGGGGGCTCTCAAAGCGTTTCTCCCACCTTTTCTCAGGCTTTTTGCCCCTTCTTTCACGGTGACATTTTCACCTCCTCAATCGCATTGTTTATTGCGGTGAGGAGGGGTTAAGCGACCCGAAAACCGAAACACAAGCTCTGATTTCAGACCCGAGCAACCGTCCCGGCTAACCCGGAGCGACGCGGCAGCGGGTGTCAGGTCAGGCCGTGCCAAAGCTCTTCGCGCCCCACAGCCACCAGGCTGAGACCTGGCAGCAATCATGACACTGTTGGGGATGCTGAGCATTTGAGTCCTGAGGGGGGGTCTCTGCTGCTTTTGAGGATGGGTTATGGCCAGAGCAGGGATCAGGAGCCCCCTTCGGCTTCCTC